TGGAAAATTTTCTCTGAAAGCATAGAACTTTTTCATAATTTTTTCTATTTTTAGCTTAAATTAAAGTCATTTACTTATTAATTAAACATATTAGAATTAATTAAGACACAATAACACGCCGAATAAATACTAATTCAGAAGTCAAACAACAAAAATCAGCGTTAATTTACAAAATTTTCACAGGACTAGTTTCGATGGTTTTACCGAACCATCATCTTCAGCTGCAAAACCGCCCAATTTTGTAAATTAACGCTGATTTTTGTTGTTTGACTTCTGAATTAGTATATTAGAATTACTTAAATCTCGGTCTGAAAGTTTAGTATTTAGCTGCATATATACAAAGTATTTGAATTACAACATGTAACCATTAAAAATGTCTTGCAGATGCCAAACTTAAGATTTCAGATAGGAAATAAATATAAAACTTTCCTATGATTGTTTCAAAAGAATAAATTGAATTTAAATACAAATTTAAATTAATTCTTTGCGCCATTGCTGCAAGGAATGAAATTTAAATTTTAAAAAACATGTATATACGTAAAAAAGCAAATTTAAAGTTAAATAATTAAAAAAAAAATGTGCAAACATATAAAAGATTTAATTTTCGAACTAATCTACAATATCATTTAAATTCAGTTAGCATAAGTAAATCAAGTGCAAAACCAAACCATGAAAATGGAATGACATTTATGGAAATTTATGTGATTGATACGAGCCATAATAAAAGTAAAGAGGGAGCTAACCTACAATAAAGTGAATTTTTAAAGTAAAAATTCTTAACTCAATTTTTGGACAGGAAAATTTTAAAAAACTGGGAATTTAAATGTTATTGCTAATTAATTCACTAAAATTAATTAAAATTGAACTATTGTATTAAACTATTTTAAACTAAATTATTTAGAGAGTTTAAAATTAGAATTAACTAAAAAGAAAACAAAAATATTAGAAATTGAAAGTTGTATTTAAAATTTATAATAAAAAGAGAATCAAACCAGGTAATTAACGCTAAAGCTGCTAAGTACAAACAAAATTGTTTCAAAAGAATAAATTGAATTTAAATACAAATTTAATTAATTCTTTGCGCCATTGCTGCAAGGAATGAAATTTAAATTTTAAAGAGATGTTTTGTTATTCTTTATGTATGTTTTGATAAATATTTAGTAAGTGACATTTAAAATTGGTTTAAAATATTTTTTTATTTTGTTAATAAAAAATTTTTGTTTTCTTTAAAAAAAGGAAGAAAAAAGAATATCTGGCCTGTCACCTGTTTTTAGGTTATGCAGACTGTACTACACCATATAAATTTCTACGCATTTTTTTTAATGGGCATGGTCATTGATAGTCTACAGCAACATTTTTACTAAAGCTATTTCCCATTATTATTAGCTATAGTACTTTTTAGAATAGCTTAATTTTAATTAACGGGGCAGACAGTACAATGAAACTTCACGCCATAGGAAATGCAGTTATTTGGTAATAATAATGCTTTGAAACAACATATGCAATTTACCCCAACGGATAATTTCAACATTTATAGTCGAAATTGAAAAATTTAAATAGCTTTACCGTAACACTCTTTTCAGTAAAATCTAAGTGGTTCTCGATATCAGTTTATTGTATCAAAAGGAAATTGAAACTTCGAAATGTTACCAGTTCATTAATATTAAATGATGACAATTTAAGAATGCGAAATTTTTACTTCTCATAAGCAAAGATGAAAGAAGTCATCAGTTAACCAAATAATACTGTGATCGATGCACCAGTCATGTAACTTCAAATCAATAAGTCAAATTATGTGAGTTTCATGGTTAAGTAGAATTTATTTATAAGTCTTCTGATGGTAGAAATTAGTAAAACGTCTGTCCGGTGCGAGTAGGTCCTGGTTCGATTACTAAACAGGTAAAGGCCTTTATTTGAAACACTGAGTTTCCTTCTCTCTGGAGAGAAAGCATTACCTTTCAATTCATGAATTCAAATGTAGGATATCACATACTTTTTATTTCTAGGAACGTGATTCAGTCAGACAGTCTTTAAAAACTATACGATCGAGATTGCACTTTCAACTTTTTAACTATCAGTATTCAATGGCATAAGATGGCTTTAGTGTAAATTGCCCTAAAATATCGATCCCAAAAGAGGTATGTTTTCCTTTTAAAAGACAGCATTATTACAGTTTAGATGCCGTTAATTTTTTTAAATAAAAAAGCAACGGTTATTGCGGAGTTCCGAGTCTCCCGAGAGCACAAAATGTTTTTCCAGCGAAATAATGAGCCTCAGCTATTTTGAAGCTTCACTAGGAGCAAGATATCTGTACTTGCAATTCCTTCCACGAGCAGATTTTGCAACAACAAAATAGCGGAAAAAATGACTAGTCTCTTTTGTGGATGACGTTGGTCTCTAGTTCGAAAAAAGTAAGAAAAAATGATGATGCCCTCGGATGTGGAATGTTGGTTCAACAAGAAATATTTCAAAATTCGAATAAATAACAGGACACGGAAATAAACATGACATACACAGCTTTAAAAAAAATATAGAAGCCAAGCGAACATTCTGCAGTTAACTTCTATAACCGGCGAGAAATGTCGCTTAAAAACAAGCGGCGATTGGCAACTATCGTGTAAAACCTGATTTTGTATAAAGATTAATTCTTATTTTCAGTATTTTCATAATTAAAAAATATGAATCTGAGCTAAGAAGTGTATACAGCACATTTAAAGAGTTTATGCTTGAATTCATTTAAAAACAATTTTGAAAAGCTCTCATGTTGTTATTTTCAGCTTTTGAGTTTTCAATTAAACGAGATTGCATTTTATTATTATAATTAAATTATTTAAGTCAACATACATTTTTTAAACCTCTTAATTAACAAATAATGGTTTTAAATGCAATTATTTTACTGCTTCACCGTCATGATTAATCCTTGAAAATCTCCACTTTTTAAAAAAAATATGAATTTTAAAGAGCAAAGGCAATAATGAAAAAAAGGGCAAATTTGAATTAAGAACATCTTAAGGATCAAGCACACAGCTAACTCAGGAAAAGCGTGTTTGTTAAAGAATTTTTTTTTCCAGTGAAAGATAAAAATAATCCGTTAAGTGCTAAAGAAGATTTTATCAAACTTTTTGTTTTAGAATAATATTTTTTCATTCCAGTTATTTATTTCATGATTCATTTACGTGAGAGAAATACATATGGACAGCGTATTGAAGTTTTTTTTCCCTTATTGGACGTTTCTGTTTGGGAGCATGTTAAAACTGCGGTTTACAGTTGAAAATTCGCTCGTTTTGGAGATTCGATTTTCTAATGCGATTAGTGCAGAACGCGCAGTTTTGAGTAGAAGACTTCGATTTCGCTTTACATCAACAAGAAAAGGGATGTCATTACAAGGAATTAAATGCAGTGACACCTGAATTTCTTCCTTTCATTTACAGTTTGCTAGCATTACAGAAATATCTGGCACATTAATTTTAGAGTATCAAGAAACAGGAGTTTTGGGCATTTTAGTGAACACAATTATTTTGCAATGATTTTATGTACTTAAAAAATGCAACTGAGTTTTATACTGAAATATTCATTCATTTTTCTTAAGCATTTGATCTGATTAAACGTATTATTAAATAAGGTTATAATTTTATTTCTCAACCATCTTCATAAGCCATGATATGTTGTAACCTGTAAATATCGTCCTAAATTTGTTGGTTGATAAATGCTTTTTACTGCTTTGTATTTCTAAAATGAATGCTTTCCACAAATTTCAATAAATACGCTTAAACAGTATTTGATTAATGTAAGGAAACGTCTTTCTTAAATCATGAAAGCTTACTTCATAAAGCAGAAAAAAAACGCAGCACTTGCTGCCGTGATAAGTATGTAATTAGTAAAAGAAGCAGTCCAAGGTGAGACAATTTCATGAAAATACGGGAATACTAAGTGGAACGCCATTTTGATGTAGTTTGCGGGAGCATATAATTAGTAAAAGCGGTTGTCCAAGGTGAGACAAGTTAAAGTAAATGCATGATTGCTCATATGTTATGTTAGAGCTGAATGCAGAGATTTCGGAGCAGTTTATGGGATTATAGTTGAAATGCATTCTAGAAATAGACGTAATTTTCTAAGCACAAAATCTAAAGCTGCGATATGCTTATTTTTTTACAATCCAGACGGAAATACCACAGAAGAGATAACGCCAAAATAAATATCGAACCCAAATAAAAATTCCTCACAAAACGTTGAAAAGAGTACATTTCAATTCCCCTAGTATTCGAGTGACATAAAGATAACAGTAATATAAAAATATGATAAGTGGATGTGATAAAAATAATAACTCTATTGTGCAGAATATATTTGATATTATATGTTATATAAATACGTGAGTAGCCTGAATAGTATGGATAGCGATGCAGTTTCATTCAGTATCAAAAAGTACCCGAATGGGCGATCATTTCCAAACATATTTCAAATTTTCTTTATATGTATGCTTCACACAAAGTGGTAAACGTGCTCCTTACTTACATCAATGGGATATTAAAAAAAGTGTGAGGCGACAGTTACTCGACTATTGCGATAAAATGAACACGAAGGTAGAATGTGAAGGGGGAAGAGAAAGAAATATGTATATATATAGATAGATAGATAGATTGGAAGATGTTGGTTCTAGAGTATCGTTTTGAACAACTGTTTCCTTTCAATTTTCTTTTACAATCCGTTGTCGAATCAATTATTTTGAGAGACCGGGCAAATGCCCCTTTTCCTCTCCTCAAATTGGGGATCCCTACGAAACAACTGGCGTTGGCATCTGCGACTTAATAATAAGAAACACGAAATGCAGAAGAAAAAATTGAAGGAAAGGAAAACCTGCACAGCGTCTTGGTATTGAAGAAACGTGTAGTAGGGGAGTGGGGGGGCTAACATCCTCCGGGTAGCAGCTGTCGGTTGGGGCGGGATAAAGGGGGACATCTGAGATGCTGCCGGCCACGTGGGGCATAGGCCGATTAGAAAGCGGCAGCTGCTCTACACGACCCACTTACTTTATTCTGGATCTTGAGACGGCGTTCTGAGCAGCGGCTCGCAAACGTACTCCTGTTTCAGATGTCAGTTGTATCTCCGAGGACAAGCTCTTCTTTTCATCTTGTGCTCAGAAGATGTTCTTCGCAATCGGAAACGTAGCCGTGGATACTTCGGTCAGTTGTGTGATTCAGTGAATGCTATATAGTTCGTGTATATCTGATTCTTTTTGAATTCTGCGTTTATAAAAGAAGGGAATTCACAATAATGGAATAAATCGTTAAGAGTTGAACATCGCGAATGTTTAAATCAATGGTTTTATTATTGTTCAGATTAGATATGAAACACTTTGCATTAACTATTTGCTTATAGAGATTTTAATTTAGTTTCATGACTTCTGTTTTTATGAAACAGCTCTTAAACGGAGAAGTCATTTATTGAACTCTTAGACAACGAATGTTTCAAAGTTATAACTTTTTCTGCAAAATGAAGAATTGTATAATTTATCATTCGACGATGCGCTGGATACTTGTAACTGTTATGGCTTTTATCTTAACTTCTGTTAGTTCTGAAAATTCTGAGTCTTTGAGCGTTGAAGATATTGTCAAAGGACTCCAAACAGAGTTGAAAGAATTACAGAAAGTTCGACAACAAGACAGTGAAACTATTCGGAGATTAGAAGAGAAAGTACAACATTACGCCCCGACATCTTCGCCAAATGAAGATTCAGCTTCTGAATTCGTGAGACTGACAGAGGCTTTCTCGGGAATGGCTGGGAAAGAAGCATGGAGGAATGTAAAGGCAATGAACCATGATGCGACTCAGGTGCAGGGTAGGGACTCGAAAGAGATGACTTCAGGCCGTCATCTCCGTACCCTTCTGTCATCTTTATTGACAGCCTCTGAAGCAGTTGAAGATCACGAACCGGAACTCAGAACCGATGCAATGTTTTTAAGTCAAGAATTGTTCCGGCTTCGGAAGCAGGTAGAAGAAAGTGAAGCTCGGCGGAAGAAGGAAGAGTTGGCATCATCCGGCAGAATTGCTGTCCGGTGGCTTCAGAGGACAGTCGAAAACTTACGTCATGAAATGAGGGAGATGGCGTCATCTCTTAATATGAGTGCTACTTTGGCAGAAAGAGAGAAGACCAAAACAAGCTTGACTCTTATGCGGTCAGATATGGTTGCTCTTGGACATCGCATGGATAGTGTCCGAGTGGATCGCGAAAGAAATGCTGCTCTTATACAGCAACTGAGGCAAGATATGGATGAACTGAGAACCAGACTTCAGGAGTCTGCTGCAGGACAGCAAAGAATTTTAGTTGAGGTGAGTAAATGATTTTTCACTTTTTTTCTTTGTTTTTGTTTTGTTGTTGTTGCATTGTATTTAAATATAGTTTACTTTGGAAGGAAATATTTAGAAATGATGGTATGGTGTAATTATGATTAGCTTCATTTTAAATGTATTAGGTGATATAAGAGAAATATCTAGTAACGCAATAAAACATTTATCAAAAATATCTGGAAAAAGGTTAGGCTAATAATTCCAGTGCATATATATTCGTGGAAGAATGCGAGCTAAGTTACCTTAAATGTAACCAAAGTAAAATTACTCTTTGCGAAAACAGGGATGTTAAAATCGTACTCCTTAACAGCTTGAAAGTTTAATCATATGACGGATTATCACAATCTGACTAAGCATCGACCTTTTTACTTTAAAATACATTCATTTCTTGATATGTTTAAAGTAATGGGCAAAAAAAGAAAATTTTCACTCTTCCTTTTATAAGTATTTAAACCAGCTAGTTATCTACAAAGTGTCCATTTTTTCAACGGAGACAAAACTTTTCTTACGCTTATAAAGCTTAAAAAATATACTTATAAATGTATTATTTAATGCGTCACCATTTCGGTGGAATATGAAATGAATATTTTTAATTGCAATGAATATTTTTAATTGTACATTAAAATGCAATGCAGAAAATATATTGTAGAGACATTAGGATTTTTTTCGAAGCCAGAGAGATGAAAAATTAGCAATCGCCTTCCCCGGGAATCGACCCACGGACCTCTGGAATACCGTCCCAGTGTGCAGAACCACTACACCACGAAGCGGGAGAAATACCTTATAATATATTAATGTGCAGAGGCGACATTAACTAATATTTACCAACAGATTTGTTATATATTGTTTTAATGTATAAATGTGTAATTCAATGAACAAGTATTATCTATTTTCATGTACAAGTACATATCTGACAATTAAATTTGATCTCTATTTAAAACAAAGCACATCCGATTTAAAGCACCTGCAATAGATATTTTTTTAACTATGCACTGAGACCATCGGCCGAGTGGTAAAGTCCCTGAACACTGGTAGTTCGGTCCAGGGTTCGAATCCCGGCGAAAGGGGCTGGCTTAATGGGTGTTTTCGTGGTTTTCCCCATGTGTAACGCATATGCGAGCCAGTTTCCCTTAGAAAGTCCTCCACGAAGGCTCCCTCTCCTTAGGGAGACAGCCCTCGAGTGCTTTGCCGTAATTAAACATACCAAAACATAACTATGCACTGAACTTATGAAATGCATACTTGCAGCCTTTTATGCTTTGTGATTAAAATTAATACCACTGAATATGCATTTTACTTACTAATACATAAAAAGTGTACTAAACCTGTTGCATTTTGTTGGTATCTCATTCAGTTTATCAAAGTTGCCTTTTGCTGATACAGATAATTTATAAAAACAATTAAAATAAATTTTAAAACCCTTCATAACGAGCGTTAATTAAGAATTTATCACTGTCTTATTCAAGTAAGCGTATAGATAACTAAAAAAACGTAAGCGTAAACGCAACTAAATAAATGTATGAGTACTGAAATATTTTAGTCCTTAACTGATAATGCTTTGATTTTAAGCCATATTTAGTAGAAAAAAAAAAGTTTTCACGACTTAAAAAATGATGTGTTCAATGTTTTCATCTCGTATGTGCAGATTAGTTTAAGGGAAATGAAACTCTTTACCCTTAACCGGAAAACCTCGAAGTTAATACTGATATTTACAAACATTAATAAGGATTCAGCTCTGAACTTGAACAGTTGCGATTTCTGACAGTATACTATTACTTATCAATTTAAATATTATGAATATAAAGAAATGGCATAATCATGCCTTTTCAGTAAGCTTGTAAAGAATTTAGTAAGCTTTTTAGCCTTCTTATGTACTATGTTGTGGTCAACACATCCAACTAGAAGGTGAAAAATGGGTTCATTTCTAAGCTGAATATATACTAATCGTTACACCACAAAAGCACATGAGAATATCTAATTTCTTTTAAGAATTTTAAAAACAAAAATTATTTTTATATGCTATGTATATAACATACGTATAAGATTGTCTGTATCTAATATAACTGAGTCCGCGTTTTAAAGTGCTGTATAATTGTTTTCAATGCTAAACTGTCTCTGAGTAATATTTCATCTGAAGTTAACGTTAAGAGTTAATTAGATTGAACAATACTGAACATCAAGCACAGCACATACAGTTTTGCTTTATATACCAATTCCCAACACTGGCTCAAGCTCTGTTTTCTCACTACGGGTTTAAACGTTGTTTACTGATGTTCGTTATATATGTATATATATATACAACGTATTTGCAACAAGGGGCTTTGCCGTATCACTGAAAATGATACAAATGTGGAAATGAAGTTTTCAAAAACATTTTGAGAGATAGGAATGGTGTAGTTATTTGCGAAAGAGCAAAAATGCCAACTTAATAATTAGAACCAGATTTCGAGGAAAAGCTGATCTCTTGTCTTCAGTTCCGCGAAGGCCACTCACCGTCGCTGGCCTTCAAGAACGCTTCCATTGGAAAGGTTAAAAATACCTTCCAGGATGAAAAAACCTATACTTTCCAGCAGCAAATTGCGCCAATATCATAAAAAAAGAAGGAAAAGAAAGGGGACACAAGTTCCTCAAGAAAGCGGGTTTCTTCTCTAGTCAATGAGACAAAGGCAGCACGAAAAGAATTCAATAATTATTGATCGGTAGAAAAGAGAGTGTTCATTTGTTCAATCCTTGCACAATTCCGCGTTTTTTTACTCCCTGAAAGCATATGATTTAAGTCTGATTTCATGGTTTGGTTCTTTATGTTGTACACGATGACATACCATAATTCATTCTTATGTTGAATTAGTAGAATTTATGATTATAGACACCAAAAACTTTTCTGAACAACTTGTAACGTATTTTAGGCAATTTGAAACAGTTATTAAATAGCAGTTTAATCAGCTAGCAAAATTTTCTCAAATTAGTCAATTGTTATTTCTCTGCTATTGATACGCGCATCAAGATGCTTAAAAATATATAAAGTTTGCTAGGAATGCAAATAAATTGACTTAATTAGAGTTTTTCCATTGCTATTTTTGTTCATACTAAAGTGTTAATTCATTCAGTTTTTTCATGAAAAAGTGAGTGTGCATCAGAAATTAATTAACACGAAAATATCATTTCAGGGATTAGAAGATTGTATACGCGATTATTTTTCTGCAACGTAAATAACTGTTAACAGTTATTTATCAATAAATAATGATTATTTTATTATTATTTGACACACTTTATTGCATTTCTTGCAGTAAGTACTAAATGAACCTTTGTTTTAGTCGTCGCACTGTTTGCTTGGTGATACGGGAATAGGTTGCTGTAGCAGCTTTGGGTCCGGGTTCGAATCCCGGAGAAGGCATTTATGTTTGTATAATGCCTTTGCGGCATCGAGGCACTTAAAATACTGACGAAGCGAAACTCCTCTGGAATGGTTGCTGGAAGGGGAAGAAAAGTGGGTGGGTGACCTTTGGATCTGTCAGTTGGGAGATTCTTCTTCAAAACTGAGCAAAGCTGGAGAAATTCCTACTGTCACCTACAAGATGCTAAAGGCTTAAGCCACCGACAGGCGCTAGCCTTGCCTTTCGGTCACAATAAAATTCATGGACTTGGTCTAACGTTACTGTCAGACACGAGAGATTAACTCACAACGTGAGATTTAGTACTTGTTGCACTTTAGTACTTATTGCAGTAAGTGCTAATCTTTGCCAAAGCATGCATGCGAGAAGTTTAGCAAACATTTTCTCATGTAAATAAATTACCTGTTGCTTAGTTAACACAATAAGTTGATAACTGATGTCAGAAAAGGTTTTTTTTTTATTTAAATGAAGTCCTTTTATATTTACTAAACATGAAATTTTTATGAGATTGTTTTCGCATTTATTTGGCATTCTTAAATGTATAGTATATTTTAAAACCGAATGCCTATCGTTATACTTTTTAACTTGTTCTGTGTTTCAGCTTTCTAGAAGTCATCAATATTTAAAGAGATGACTGCAATTTCAAATGTTTGTAACGTTTTACGCTGAGCTTGTAAAGTTATTTTTAAAGAAAGCCAATTAGTTTTGAGCAAGTATAAATGCTTGTTTTAGGCCAGACGACTAAACTCGGAAAATCTGTTCTTAAACACGAACATTTCCAGCCTATGAATAAGAAAATTTGCTCGCAATATTTTCAAAATAATGGGAAAAAACTGTTACAACAATTTTTAATAGACAGCTCTCTTCAGCATTTCGTCACTTCCTTGACATTAAGACTGAAATATTACCTGAGTAGGACGAAAGAAATTTAAAAAAAAATCAGACTTTAACACAGGCTTTAAAAGTTTTTTCATGACGGTTTTTGTGATGTTGAACGAATTAATAAAGTGTTAATAAAAAAGGCAAAATTTCTCAATTTCATATTCCGCTAATATCTAAATTTATTTATGAATAATGACTCATCTACCAATGCTGTTTAGCAGTATTTTTTTTTGGGGGGGCATTATCTATTATGACTGAATTATCTATTGCGTAACCTATGGCGATTCTTATCACGTAACGAGCAATTTAGTACACACATTCAAAAACTTGAAATACATTTAAAGATAAAACACAGGTATTGAAATGTTAATTTATCCTAGCTACATTTTAAGTTAAATAATTCTGCTGCCACCTCCAAGTTGAAGGTAACATTATTTCTTCAGTTAAAATACATATATTTTAATTACAAAAATTTTACATAAAATTTAAGATGCTGGAAATAATGATCGTAAGTTTAAGCGATTAATAAAAATTTTCTAGTTAATTTTTATTTGAAAATTTTTAAAGGAAAGCGTATTCTCTTGGGACTACATAAAATCTGAGCATTTCCTTAAATAGTATTTTCTAGAGCATTTAAATATTTTATGAATACATTTCTTGTTATTTATATTTTCTATGTGAATCAAAAATTGACAAAAATGAATATTAAAATTAACAAAAGTTCTTTTTCTCAACAGATGGATGCTTTGAAAGAAGAGTTTAAAGAACAGATTTTGCTTTCTCAGAAGAGGGTAAGTACACATGCAACTGATCAAACTTATAAATTACTACATTATGCACATAGTGTAAAAAAGATAAAAAAGAATTTTTTATATGCATCATCCTGAGCTTTCTTATGGGTATATAAAAGATTATATTTAAATTTCATTTGTTATAATTATATTTTTATAGATATACCTATTATAGACATACATTAAAGCACTTTTTATATTTATCTATAAGGGAAAGTAATTTAAAGGTTTACTTAACATCGAATTACGATTTTTTCAGAATTCTTTTACATGCATATCGTGTTTTCGAAAAGCCTAAAATTGAAAAACAAGTTGGAAACGTATTTAGGTGAAAACAGCAAAAGATGTAAATTCATCATTCTGACCACGTTCTTCTATTCTTGCATAGGAATACGTATGACGAAATGCATGAATTTTTAGAAAAACTATTAACATTTAGAAGATAATATACTAAAATAAATTAGAATAAACGCAACTGGACTGAAAATCGCTGAGCTTGTAAAGTGTGCATAGTATACAAAACAATAAACATTCATAATTTATGATTAACAAAACTATCGAATTTTTATTTCACAGTTTACGGTTTTTAGGTGACATGTATATGTGTACATATAGTATAACAGCATCACAATTTTTCTTCTATTTTATACTTAACAAACATATATGGATATGAATCCACCTATATATTTCGAAAAAGTTAACAATTAGAGTTTTCTCCACGTGTATTGTGATTTTATTGAATGTCTTCTTAAATTTTAATTTCTAAAAATGCCTTCATAAAGTCATTGTTTTAGAAACTTCTGTGAAAGGTTGAGTGAAAAATAATAAAGCAAAATGGTGACTCATTAAATTTACATTTTTAGGTATAATAAAAGTCTAAGTGATTACTTTAAACATAAAATATATATAATTAAAATAACAGGGAAAAGGAATTTATTTAAGATTCTAAATATTCCTTTTTATTTTTTATTTTTGAGGAGGATTATATTTTTTTCTACCGAATAAAAATTCTTGCTGAAAATACATATGGACGTTTTTGCTTAAACTGACACTTAATGGCGTTGAGTTCATTTAATCTTTGTGTTCTTTGTTTCCCTTTCTTTTAATGCTTTTGAAACTGAGACTTATATTAATGGCCCGGTTTAATTCCCGAGTTCTTGGTTTCTCTGCATTTTCTCTTACTTAATCGTATGAGAACACGTTAAGACTTGTCAGCATTTCGGTAATTACGAGGAGGAAAGAAATGAGACAGTAGAGAAGGAGAAAAGAAGTTATTTGTGGAAACCAAAAGTCAGCATTCTTGGGAAAACATTTTCTGCATCTCGGTATCACAATTAACGGGCTAATGCCCAAAAGTGCTTTATCTATTTTATTTCAAACATATTATGAGTTAGGTTGTGATCGTCATTTGTTGATAGATAGACAGTTTGTATTCTTCAAATTAATTATATCGGGATGAATTTTCCTTGTTTGTTTCACAAATATATTAACATCACCATTGGAAGAGATATATTTTTCTTCCATAGTTTACTTTTAGTAAGCGAAGTATTTAATCAAAAATTTGAGCTTTTTAATCTGCAAAATGCTCATAGGATATTGCGGATTTTTTGTTTTAAGAAAGACAATTTTTTCATAATTTGTACGAAGTTTAAACAAGACTTTCACTTTGTAAAGAGAGACATTACTGCCATCGTTACTTTGAGTAAAGAAATTTAAGATGGATTTGAGATTTATTTTATCTTTCTTTCTTGAGGATAAAGATAGAATATTTCATACTACAAATAGATTTATTAGGCTGATAAGTGACGTTAGAGAATGAATAGAAATGAATTAAAGATAAAAGCACGTCGGCAAACTGAAATGCTGGATTCTATACGAGCTTCGTTCAAAGGTGAGGCATGTTCACACGTCACAAATTAAAATGTAAGATATATTAGCTTAAGAAAATACATTTTTAGAGTTTAGAGAATAATCTGAAACAAAAGAAGTGTTCCTAAATGTGTTACCATTAATTCTTTGCTATGCAAGCTTAACAAATTCACCTTTTTCCGTTAAGTAAAGCTTTGCAAAATTTAACGATATGTTGTAATGTCAAACACGAGTTACTTTGTTTTATTATTGTATTTGAAGCTTACTATAAATTAGCAGAATGTGTCTTATTCGTTTCTGATTTCAATTATATATCAAATCGTGCAACCCCATCCTGCAGTAAAATAGAAAGCATTAAATAGGACGATCAAATAGGTCTTATTTAAGAACACAGGTAATTACAAAAGTAAAATGTTTATCACCCACTAAAATTATTTAACTTCTGTGTGATTTGTTTGTGTTCTGTTCATTATTCCCATACAGTAGTTTCTTGTTTAAAATATCATACTTTTTTTATTTCAGAGTTTAGAAATAGCAAATCATAGAGACTCTAGCCGAGAAAACAGAACAGGTAGGCAATTATGCTGTTATAATAATTTATCAACATTTTGATAGTCAGTAATCTCAAAAGAGTTGTAACATTTTAATATTTCTAAAGAGGTATTTAGTTTTTGGTCTAGTTTAATGCAGTTAATGTCTAATTGTACCAAAAACACATGTATGATTTTTATATAATTACTTTAACTCCATAGTTCTTACAACTTTAAATAGAGAATGAAGAACTTGTATTCTTCACAAATTAGAACTAGGTTGCTAGTATTTGATTAACATGAAAATTTTATGAAACAGAAAAATCTTCAATAATATTTTTTTTTACTGGAATAATACTTTGATTTCTTTTATGAAACTGTTTGAAAGTACAAATTGGGTATAAATTATTTCAGATGAAAATCATCACCCAAGACTTCGCCATGGACACTGGAAAGCAGAAGTAGATCATTTGCAAGACATCATAGATAATCTTGAAAACAGACAAATAGATCTTTTGGAGCAAGTGCAAGATATAAAGCAAAATCAGGCTTCTTTTATCTTGAAATTTAATTCTTTAGAGGAAATCTGTTTAAGATTTGCAAATAACTGCGATCCTTTGCTATCGGAGCAAAGAAAAACCAGTCAAAGGCTCGAAATTCTCGAAGGCATAGTAAATAAGACTGAGAGCCAAACAATGGACATACAATCTAGAGTAAATAATATCACTTCTTCGGGTATTAAAAAGCTTCATGGCTCAACAGTTCAACTTTTCAAGGCTCTGGAGCATTTAGAAAGTAATTATGATAAGACAACTGCTGACATACGAAGAGAAATGTCAAAATTGGACTATAATCTTTCGCAGACACAATCTGATTTGGAAGAATTGCGTGACAGACAAATAGTCTCTGAACAAACTATGTCAAACATGAAAAATGATATCTCAAGTGTTGAAACCGATTCAAAAAGAAATCATTTTCGAATACTCCTTGTGCAAAATGCTGTGCTAAATAGGACGCTAGTAGGTAATCAGAACAGTAATATGATGGCTATGCAAGACATTCGGATATCTTCTCTGGAATCTAAAATAAAATCCTTGTCAAACAGCGTCGACGCCGGCAGAACAGAACTCGAATCTCTGCATCGTCAAGTGATGGAAAAAGCTGATGATCGAGAGCTATCAAGGTGGGAGAGAACACAGCGAAAAGTCCGAGAAACGATTTTAGAGCTCAAAGAAGATTTACCAAAAATGAAACGACAGCAAGAAAAAATAGCAGAAGAGTTAGAATTGTTTGCTCAAGAACTACCTCAAGGTATGTAAAATTTTAATATCTAAAAATTTAAATAAGGATAGATTATGAATACTATAATATATTTACTACAAAAATATCACCATGAGCTATTTTAACTGCTCATTTGAGGATATTAGCATTCAACTGAGGATTCGCTGAAAAATAAAATAATTTCTTTGTTTACTTATATTAATTTCATCTCTTCTTATATTAAATAATCAAAGCAGAAGCTTTTGCTAATGAAAATAAAAGAATAAATTTTGTTTTAATTATAATTAAGTGAAATCAAATAAAATGCATACTTAATTCTTTCATGAAACCTTAAAACTTGTCTTCCTTGTGCGTAGCTGGTTTTTGTGATAAATATAACATGTCAAATATAAAAGAAGAGAGATATAAGTAAATTAAACCTGGCAGGAAGGAAGCATTATTGTGATTATAGATTTTGCTTAATGCTAAAATTTTGCCAAATTTATCGAATGTGAACTAATATACCTTCACCACAACGTTTGACAATTTATTTTTAGAAAACTCAATTTCAGCATGAAAACCCAGACCAAGGAAGGAGTATAAATATTATTTAAAACAAATTATGGTAAATTACCTTAAAAAAACCTTTAACGCCTACTATAGGAGAGTTAGAACTGAAATTAACCGTGGTTGAAACGTCTTTCGTTTCCTTTTGTAATTAGATTACTATACCATTTTAATCTAATTGGATTTATGTGATACTTATAAAATATGGCTGAGGGGAAAATTATAATCATTTTAATATTTAATTTTTGGCATTAAATACAAATAGCGTTATTTTGTGGCTGAGTAACTTCTTTATCTTTTTACATGCCTAGGTAAATATATTAAAATAGAATACAAAATTTATTCTGAATGAAAATTTATTTTAAAAAATTACTCACCATTAAATTAAAAAACTCTAAACTATGAAAAAATGCCATTATAATTGCAAAAATCTTTAATTTTGAAATTGTAAGGAATTCAAATGGAGTTTTACATAAACTTCCTATTTTTGAAAATTTATTTTTGTTTCAGACTGCTCTGGAAATTCGACCTTAGAGCATATTTTGGAGAATAAAAGTGGCACATACCTAATTCGACCTCCTGCTGAGCTTTCTCACGAATCTCCTGTGAAAGTTTACTGTGACATGGAGACGTCGGATGGCCAATGGACAGTTATACAGAGGAGAATGAAAGGGGATCAAAATTTCAACAAAGACTGGAGCTTCTACAAGAAAGGCTTTGGGGATGTTTCTGGTGGTGATTTTTGGATGGGAAATGACCTTCTTCACGATCTTACTTCTTCTGAGGATTATGCTCTACGTATTGATATTTGGGATTCTGCGGGACAATACAAGTACGCTGAATATAGTACGTTTCGTGTTCTTCATGAGTCGGACAGCTACAGGCTGGTGATCGCAGGATACCGAGGGAATGCTAGTGATGCTATGACGTACCACAATGGAATGGCGTTTAGCACACCAGACAGAGACAACGATGCTAGTGAAGCCACTCATTGTGCAGACTTCTATAATAGTGGATGGTGGTATAACCATTGTCAATATGTTAATATAAATGGCAGGTATAATACTGGCATCACGTGGTACGATATTGATGCACATGAATGGTCAGAATTAATGAGGGTAGAAATGAAAATTAAGCCTCGAAAATTAGTATATATATAAATGTGAACTAGAACCAAGAAAGATATTTTTATTTTAAATGTAAGCTTAACAATTCTAGTCTATATCACCTCTCGCTAACTGCGAAATATACGTATTAAGTACATTTCAATTTATCAACAGTGCTCAAAGTTTTATGATGAAGAACAAAGGAACGAGAACTCAGAAGGACAGATCGAAATGAAAGATTTCGAATAAATAATAAAACCACAGTCAAGAAGGAGTTAATATATTGGCTTTATTATTTTATTACCAAGGTATTAATTTATTTCTGAACATGTATATACGTAGAATTTTTTCATTGTTAAAATATTTGACATATTTTATGCTTCTTGCAGTAATAAATGTATATAGACTTTGACAATATTCAGAATGGATTATGTAAGGGAATAAATTTCCCAATAAATATATTTCCATAAAATCTATTTCATTTTTAAATCTCTTGGTCCTGTTGCTTTAAGCTATTTAAATCTAGTCATGAATTCTTGTATGTATTGTATATTTCTAAACTGAATTTGTATAACTAAATGCTAATATTAAATCATACACTCATTGAATTATTGCACAGATAATACATTTTTAAAGAGCAGAATAGCTATTAAGAAACGGTTTTGACGTTTATTTGAATGCACTTAGCTTGAAAAGTAATACATCAGCTGAAGAAAGATAATAATATAATAGTATTTTTTATAGAGATATTAATTGTAGATTATGTGATGAATCCCTTGTGAAGGTCTCGGAAATTAGAAGCATTATTATCAAAAGGATGTAGGAAATTTTTTTCTACTTTTGGTAAAGCACTTAGATTTTGTCTGTGTTCTTTTCATTATTACCATTATGGTGAGACTTTTTTTAATTATAAACCAATTTAATTTGTATTTAAACTACAGATGTTATCTTTTTTTTTTTTTTTTTTACTGAGTCTTATGCTAAAATAAAACTGCTGGCAGCTTTATACATTGCTAAAGTTACTGATTTGTTTTTATTGGGACTAGTTCAAAGAACGTGAAAAAGACATGTAAAAACATTTACAAACAAACTATGTTAACTTTATGCATAAAGCGAGAAATGAATATTACATTTAGATGCAAGGACACTTTTAGTAAATGATTTCTTCAAAAGAATATTACATGTATACTATTATTTACAAATAAATCAAGAGAAAAGTTACGATACTATTTAAGTTGCATTAATGTTTTCTGTTGGCTTTATTATTTTTTTTTTATTTTAATATTAAGAACGTCTAGATTTTCTTATTTTCAATGCCGGTTTATAATTTAATAGACACTAGAACAAATTAAAGAGAAAATTCTTTAACGTAGATTTTTCTTGTTCTTTTTGGTGTGCATAATATAGTTTACTTCTAAGTAAGTAATAGTAATGGAAATGAAAGAAATATTTCATTAACTTTATGTAATATTTGAAGAATGATGTATTAAATGGAAATGTTAATTCATAATAAGAAGTAATTTATTTAACAGAACACTATCAAATCTAAGGCAAGCGAACTAAATAGTTAAAACTATTTAATCAGTCTTGGTTGCGTTGTCTAATGATTTTTACTTATGTTAATTATTCATCTTCAGTATTTGTGAAGAAAATTTTAAATAGTAATTTATTAAGTCTAATGTATGTGAGGCCCCGTAGTGATTTGTATAAATATCTGATAACTTGTAGTCGTGCCTTGTATAGGTAAAAGAGGATTTAAAAGTAACTTGCTAACTTTGAAACTAAGCAAATTTCAGCTTTTATTTAGTTTCAGATAAAAGGCTGTAGAGCACTAATGTTTTATTTAATTCTGATCAAAATATAAAAATGAATTTGCAGCATTCTATACAGCATACTGCTTCTTGATGAAGAGAGATCATTATAAAATCGACTCTCGAAATGCATAGAAATTTTTTTTTTTTTTTTTAAATCAATCTAACTTTTGTAGAGTCTGAGACTTTTCGAAGCAGGAAACACGAGACATCAGTTGCACCCTCGCCGGGATTCGAAGTCCAGATCTCTTGATTGCTAGCTGGGCATGCTGCCATTTATTTCACGAAGGCACACAATGAGGAAGGAGAAAATTCCTTACATTCTTCCTAACTTAAAAGGCGACTAGGAAAGGAAGATAATCTCCAAGTCCAGGTGACGAATTATCATACACCACATTTTAGTCAGATGCCACTGTAGAGATATTAGGAATATATATAGAACATGAAACATGAAAAATCTGCGATTCTCTTGCCGAGATTCTAACTCCAGACATAGCCATTGCTATCTGAACGTTTTTCAATTATTCCACGGAGAAAATTCCTTATAGGTTGTATTTTGCAATAACTTTTCAAAATACTGCTCTTTAACAAGGAAAATTTTGATTTCATTGTCTTAATGTGCAACTTTTTATGCCAAATAATCGTCAAATTACTTTTAGATTTCGTACAGGTTTAGGGTCGTATACATGTTATATATACTAAATGACTCGAAAGTAAGTGACCAGCATAAAAGTTTTCATAGCGGAAATTCTTATCCATTTGCGTTTCACGGAATGAAAAAATAATTATGAAGCTTGGGTATCTTAATATAGGATTCTTATACATTTTTCTTCATAAATCATTTTAAAACAAATTATGGTTACTGAACTTACCTTGGAAATTATTTTCATCTTTATGACTGTCTGTATCAGTAATAAAATTAAACAGAGACTAACTCTATCAGTAATAAAAGTAAGCAGTTTATGACTGACTCTATCAATAATAAAAGTATGCAGATAATTATTGGCATTTTTTAAATAGAAAATGTCAACATTTTATTATTTCCTTGCCCGCATTCAGTTCGCCATTGAAAAATCATTCTCACCTCATCGTTAAGTAGAAATTATCCATATTTGATTAATGGGTCCGGATATTTCATTTGGTGAGAACACCATCCGAACTATAGAAAGTCCTAGGTTAAATTTCCAGGTAGTGGCAGATGGTTAAAATGCTACCAGTTTTACTGGTATTACTTAAAATTATTCTTTATAAACTACTTGTTTAGAGCATTGACCATAAACTTAAAACTGTGTCATTGAGAGAAAACATATATTCGGAGATCCTGGAATAAATAATTGAGTTAGGAAAATATTAAAATAAATCTGCGTATGCATAAAGATACGAGATGTAGCAAACGTTTGGAAACAGTAAATTTGTAATGTTGTTGTATTAATATAGGGAATTATTGTTATGAGAATAAAAATTTTCATGCACTTCATGGACCTAAAAGCGCACTTTACCGTAACATTTTTAACCATCGTAACAAAAGCAGAAGTGCCTAGAAAAGGTATTGCAGGGAAAAAAAAAAAGTAAAGTGAACAATTTTGCAATAATCATTGGGATAATTGCGCAATTGTTCTCTTTCGAATGCAAATGTATTTAAAGCATAATATTTACGGCTTATAACTTATTTTTCACCAAATCGTAAATCTACTTAATATCCATTTAGAACATAGTATATAAGGTATTTTATACCGCCTTCTTAGCAAGCCTTCGTGGTGTAGTGGTCAGCACACTCAGCGCGCAAAATTGAGAGGTCCTCGGTTCGATTACCGGCGAAGGCGTTGCTAATTTTTCATCTCTTCTGCTTCCAAAAATTACCTATTGTCTCTACAATAGCGTCCGAACTAAAAAGTGTGTTGGATGATGATTCTCCTCACCCAGGATTTGGCGATTGGGTCATCTAAAAACCCCAGTCGCCCTTAAAAATGGGAAGTATATAAGTATTTCTCCCGCCTTCGTAGTGTAGTAGCCAGCACACTCAGAGCGTAAAATTGAGAGGTCCACGATTCGATTCCCGGCGATGGCATTGCTAATTTTTCATCTCTTCTGCTTCCAAAAATTATATAATGTCTCTACAAGTATTACTTCTTATAACTATTATAAGTATAAATAAATAAAATATATGCGAGTCCCCAAGCTATGTTATTAGACTCTGTTTAATTTTCTTCTTTAAAACACTTTTCGAAATTAATCCACCTAATTTAAATTTATATGACCTTCGTAACCAAATACTTTGTAATGTATATGCGAATAATCCAAAGAAAAACGCATAGTTTTGTACAATTTTCATAAAGTCCTGGTTTTGAATAACCTAAAATATTTTTGTCATATAAGATAATACTATAGTCGTTATAATTACAGTCCTTTATTTTACTTCATTTCCTTTACATTTCGCGTTGTTCATTATGGCAAGGCACTAGATCAATACATTTTAGCAAAGGTGCAACATAACTTTCATATAAAATGACATCAAATAAGCAGTCCTTTTTGACTTTAATTCTTTTCACCTATCACTTAATTTTATTAATATCTCATGTAGAAAAATTCTTTCATTATTACTCGTCAACATTAAAATAATTCTTTCAACGATGTGTCAAGGTAAAATGTTATTTTACTTTATTAAATGTCAGGAAAAATTTGCTGAATATTTTACCTTGTTACGTACATCGTCATGCTTGTCTTATATTTCAACATGCAGCTCGGATTTGCAATACATATAAATTTATATAATGAGCTGCAAGTATATGCTATTAGAGACAGAAAAAAAAAAAAAAAAGAATAACACCGTATCTATGTAAATCTCAAAAGGATAATGTACTTTTGCTGACGAGTGAGAAAAGGAGTTGCAAGACAACAGCAGTACACGAATCTTTTTTGATGAAGTTACCTGGGAGTTAAAAAAAACCGGTTATGCGTTTCGAATCAGGGGGAAAATTTATTCCTTTCTATATTTACTATTTTTCTTTTAATAAGGTAGCTTCAAAGAGGTCGTTGCAGTCCAACTTTTAAGAAAACTAAATTAATGACAATTCCCAGAGCAGCTACTTTAATATTTCTAGCGAAACCTTCCACTAAATATTTACTTAATATTGCTAAATAAACGAAGCTGTATACATGTACATAAATCATATTGCTATAGATTAGATTTCAGGTTTTCAACCTTTTCGATCCGCGGCCTCCCCTGACCAAGCACGTTTTTTCCACGGTCCTAGTAACTTGGCGGATATCACGAAAGAACTTGCACTGTATTAACAGTTTTAATAATTCTTGCATTAACTAGATAAATATTGCTTAAATTAGGGGACAAAAACATAACTGCAATCTTATATAGTAGCGTGGAAGGAAACATACAAATACAGTGCACTTAAAAAGGGCTTTTTACCAAGGAAATAACACTAGTAAATGTGCAATTTTGATATGTGCCCCAAAAGCGGTCACTGGTATACTACAGTGCTAACGTTGTATTCATATAGATATATACTATATAAATTATCGTTTACTTTTAGCAAAATTATCTTCACATTTTTTAATTAGTGTGAAATCGGAGATCGTTTCGTCTTACACATCTTGTTAATTAATATTTATACAGATGAGTGGTCGTTCATTTCTTTATCCAGATCAAGTTTCGATTAGTTCGGGTTAAGTTTCAGCCTCACACAGATATATTTAGGGCTTTCTCACAAAATATTAGGCATTTCTGTTGTACTGAATTGGGCAAAGACAAGTATAATCTTTACTAATGGCAAACAGTTCGATGCAAGATGTATCAGATTCTTGGTTTCTAAAGTACTAAAATGCGAGTAAATGTAAGAAATTTTAAATGAAATGCAGGAATGTAGTTGTCAAAATATACAATGAGCTTACTGCCACTGAATTACAGAAGCAATAGTTGAGGTAAACATTATTATTCTTTTCCTGTATTGAACTGCTGCAGAAGTAAGAGCAGGACTGGGTAAAGATTTTTATCCACAGATCAAAGAGCTCTTTTTCAGTCCACCGTGCAGGCAGGGCCGTCGCAAGAGGCGATGTTGCTTGTGTGATAATTTATTGCAGTGCCCTTACTGTTTGCTAGGATGACATGGGGCATTCTTTCTGGCATATCTAGTGTTCTCAATTTAGGCTGACCGCTAGTCTAGTCAGGCTTTTATACGCCCTTATACACTGTAACAACAGATGAGCACTTGCGCTGCTGATTTCGGCAGTTTGCGTAAAAATCGGATAGGAAAGATATGAAAATGTCGATGCATAAAATTACACAACGGGTCGGATTAAGCAATTAAAAGGGCAGAGACTTGAGAGAGAGTAAGTTAGTTTCTCCTTCATTGGTGTATGCAGTTTTTTGCGCCAGAAAGCATTTACTATTGATATGGATTCCGTTGTTAAGAGAAGTACAAAGTTCCTGCCCAAGTTCAAAAATACGAGATACAGGGGAAGACAACTGACTGTGCTGTGAAGTAAAAAACTC